TATATATATATATATATTCATTTACGTGCAAAAGTACATTAATGTCGCCCCACTAGAACCATCAAGGGGTGCTTTATCATAGTCATACAAGCATACTATAAATCATTTTGTTTACATTCCAAATATCATCAAATTTCTTTTCTTTATAGCATGCATGTGTATTACATAAGTATAACTATGCAAATTATTCACATTCATTCTAGATGATAAAATTGAATAATAAGCCAAAATAATCATATTCTAGTTGCAGTAACAAAATATCGTCACTAATGCGAGTGATTTAGAAGAAATATAATATTAGTACCATAATTTAGAAGTAAAATTACTCACATCGACAAAAGACATTCTGCTTGCTCTTGATGTCAATTCTTCTATATGCACCCTCCCTTTCTTCTTGCTTGCCTCGGTCGCACGGGATCACAAGTCTCCTTTGTGACTTCCTCTTCTTCGACTCCTCTGATCACGTCAAGGCACTGATTGTCCTCCCTCCACAACTCAACCCCGATGCCGATACTTCCTCAAACCTCTTCGTCATCGACTAGGGCTACTCATGCATTGTTCTCCTCTCCTTAGCTCGGCTCTCGGCTCCAAGGTAGGCTGATCTCCCTCTGCATTCCTCACGTTTCTTTTAGGGGCCGAAGTAAACTTTTGTTTCCCAGATTCCTCGCCTCATCTTCCTCCCCGATCAGCTCTTCATTCCCTCTTCCTCTCTTCAGCTTCTAACTATTTGTTTCCTCTTCTTATTTTTGGTTCACTCGACTCCTCGCTTCCTAACTCCATCATTTCTTCTCCCGGGGTAACATAACGTTACACACTCGGCTTGAAGATTGCTTGAAGTAAAGTTAAAAATAACATGTAATGTACATTGATATTGTTTTTAAAGTTAACAAATCGTAACTCTATTTTGCATCAAACTATAAGCCACTTCTCAACTCTAAGTTGCATGTCAACTTTTATGGCTCTCTGACTCAAATTAGCATGTTCAGTCTAAATCACATGCAAGCTTCAATTGCCCACTAATATTAGGGCGGTCGTTGACTCCAGGCCTACAAAGGACCTCAAATTCATATGATGATGATTAGATATTCTTCAACTCTAAATTGTTTATGAAACTCAAATTATCGTTTAAATTTAGCTATTGTTGCCCTCTAACTACAAGTAGGTCACCCCATCGGCTCCAAGTGCCCATCACCTCCATATAATGCTAGTGAAAGTTGTTTCAATTGGGAGTTGATCAATGATTTTTTCTTGTTTTCACATTTTGTAAAACACATGCCCATAAATAACTGTCTTTTTTTTTGATTGTGTGGATAATCCAACATAGTTTAGATGATCAAAAACTTCCTCTCTTTTTGTGCTCCACTTTTCACGTACAATGAGAAAAATCTAAAGGCTTTAGTGGTATGATTGCATCGATAAGAGGATAACATTTGCATCAATTATTAATTTTTTAGTTTGTTATTTTTACAATTATTACGCATTAAAATTTACACTTTCATGAGATTTGTGTCATGTTATATCTTATATTCATTGATTTCATCAGGATTACTATCTAAATTCTTATAGTTTTACTATAATAAAATAAATGTAATTATCATTACTATTATAATACGTCCTAAAAAATTATAAGTCAGTTAAGGCCTCGTATGAAGACATTGAAGTTTGTTCCATTGCCGTGAATGCCCGTATATTGAAAAGCTTTTGTTTGACAAAACAATGTCTTCGGATTTTGTTTTAACGAAATGACATTTTTTTTTCATTTTAGATCGAAGATGACAAGATAAGATCCACAGAGGGAACAAAATGACGAAGTTCCTTCAAACGAGCTCTCAGTCACGATAAATCATACCTACATGTACTATGAAATAAGTTATAAATATATTTTGATATTTCCTTGTGTTTTTCCTGTTTGGGCAGCTTATAAGTGCGGCGGCGTTTTAAAAACGCTGTCTCACCGTTTGTTTCGCACGTTGGAGATGTGTTTATCAAACCTGTGTTTCCTATTTTACATTATACGCGGATCGCGGGGCTAGACCCGCGATCCGCGTTTCCTTATCGTGTTTAGCCCCCAATTACGCCACTGCCCCTTCCCGCAACGTCTTCCTTCTTCCTTCGTCGCGATTCGGGAATAAAGAAAGCTCCCAGTGCCGCAAATTCTTCCTTCGTTCGCAATTCTTCTTCCTGGATTCGACATTGCTTCTGCTTCTTCCTACATCGGCACTCCTTGCTTCTGCTTCTTGTTTCTTCGGCACTCCTTCGTTCGCGATTCGCAGATTCGACATGCGTCTGTTGTCCGCCTCCTCTTTCGCTCGGTCTCCCTCGCCTCTCTCTCTCACATCTCCCTCGCCATTTTTGTCTTCTGGATTCTTCATCTTCTTCACTAAATTCATGTTATAAACTTGCATGAATTTAGGGTTTTTTTTTGGCTTTTGGCAACCGTGATTCTCTACTATAAGGTTCTTCTGACTTCTTATGACGACAGATTATTCGTCTCTTTATGCTTACTTTTAGCTTTGATATTTTTTAGCAGGATGTGCATGCATACCACAAAGTTTATATGTATTTATATCTAACATCTAAACTTGGTTATTTTCACTTTCTTTATATTTTGTTTAAATCTTTTATTTGGGTTTGTGAAATTCTATTTTTAGAGGATTATGATAAGTCATATGACCCAAGTGGTTCTTTTGGATTGCCCTTCTTATATGCTTTTCTACGTACAAAAATTTGATTCAAGCGTTCCTCATTATGGGTCTACTGCCTTCTTCTGATGGTAGATTATTCATCTATTTATGTTTACTTTGAATCCTGAGTTTTTATTTTTATATAAACTTTGGTAGAATCTTTTTGATATATTTGTCAAATTCATTTTTTTTATTATGTTAGAAATTAATATTTTCTTGATATTCACTCTTAAGTGGAGTGTATAACATTTTTTTGTACTGTCATGAATTGGTTTTTTTGGTTCTCAACTGTCAAATGTGTAATCGTTACAGTTCTGTTATAAACAAAAATATTGCGTAGTGTTAGAATAGTCATTTGCAAAAAAAAAAAAACTACAAATAAGCAGTTTACAAAACACACAAAATAAACAATTAAACAGTTTATCCAAAACAGAGGCAGAATTGTCATTTATCCAGAATCAGCTGTTTTTCAAACATACAAACCAAACAACCAGCCAGCTTATCCGGTTCAGTCGCTCATCAGTAAATTATCAGGATAAACTGCTTATCAGCATAAGCGGGATAAGCTGCAGCTGCCCCAAACATGCCATTAGTTTTTAGATTTTTTTTTTTCACAAATCTACTTAATTTATCTCAATTTTGAAGCAAAACAAACATAAAAAAGTTTTTCGATGCATTGAAAAATTTAATTTCAGGTAAGTTTCACCAAACCTGATCACATGGACCAAATCTGGTTCGGCTAATTTTGTCGATAATCAATGGTCCGCTGCACCACGAGTGCGCCAGCCGAACGTTATCTTCTACTGCGCTCTGTAGCTCTCCCTCCCAGCGGCGGGAGAGTTGATGATGGCGCTTTGCTTCGCCCCTTCTCTCGTTTACCCGAGCAGTAGGGTTTGTTTTCTAGAATCTCCTTTCAGAAGGTCGGAACTATGGAGAAAAGGGCGCATTGGAGCTTCTTCTGCGGCGCCAGGTGTCGATCTCGAGGCTCTCAATGTGGCTATTGCTAAGGTTTCCCCTGATCCGCGTATTCACTTTCTTTGAATGAATTCATGGATATTCCTTTTCCATGCATTAAGGTCCCCTTTTTTATGGGACTGGTGTGTGCATAATCGCAATGCAAACTTGAACGCGGAGGAAAAGCCTCTAACCACTACATCGCAGTTCAGTTCCTCTAATGTCCTATTGCCCATGAGAATCTTATTGGTTTTACTTTTCTGGTACCATCTAGACGGATTCCTAGGATAGGTTGAAGTAGGTCGGAATATAGGACGAAGCTTGGAGACAGTACCGATGGCAGAAAGCGATGAAAAGAATCATGTAGTTGGATATGACTTACGCCGTAAGTAGTTCATGAATGATAAGCACACCAATTATCCATAAATATAATGACAGTAAAATGTATTGTGTCAAAATACTGATTGTACGTTAGAGCCGATGATAGTTATGAGATGTTACGCTGACATTTCTTATTACACTTACATACACCCAAACGTAAGATAAATCTCATCACATAGGCGAAAATTATAATTGTTTCTCATTTGATGCTTCTTTCTTGTGTACCTGTTGCTGTTTATATTCAAGCTTCTGAGTTATTGATTGCATTCTGTAAGCCTACAGAACTCCCATTTCCTCTTCAAAGCTTGAAATAGCAGGATAAGCTGCACAAAAAAATCCAGTTACTTTTTTATGACATTCCTTCCATGTATTGTACAAGCCTAGATTTGGTCTGATGAATGCCATATTAGTGCCTTGTGCCTCAACTTCATGAAGAAAAAATGAGAAGAAAAAATCACTAATAAAATAAGGGAATTGCATGAGAACATTACTAGCATGACTTGAGTTAAAGCTAATGTGACCATCCCCGTCATCCATATTATTTAAGTAGGGATAAAGTAGGGATAGGATCGACTTGAATTAATTTAATGCCTGACATATTGTGCTTCAATGACATAACATAGGAAACATGCATGCTTGCTTTCCTACATCAGTTATAGTTTGTCAGCTATTTGAGACATGGCATGCAATAAGAACAATCACAATCTAAATAAAAAACAATATGCATATAACATCACCATCATGACAAGTGAGTTAAAATCTAGTGTGATCAATCCCATCATCCATATTATTTAAATAGGGACAGGAACAACTTCATTTGATATATAGAGTCACTACATGCTTCAATATCATGGGATAGGATAATTGCTCTGATGCCATGCTGAACCACTGCTAAAATCCTACTTCAGCAAATGCATATAATGTCATCATCACGGCAAGTGAGCTAAATCCTACTTTTTTTTTTCTGCTTGGATAAAGAACATGCATATGATTTTCAGTTTTTTGGCAAAAGGAACAAGAGAACATGATAATTCTATGAACTACCATCACATTGACACATTACCATGAGATTAGACCAAAAACCCTATGGATCTACCATATAAAACGTAACATAAATTACATTAAACACATAAACATGAAAAGCCCTAACATTTAGACATAAAATATACATGAAACATTTATGACATTAAGATCGAACATGCGCAATGTAAAAGGCTTATGAATTGAATGGGAAATTCGTTTTTTTTTTGTTGAAAAAGCATGGTAAAATTTTAAAATTGACACATGAAACTAATGAAGATAGAAACAACCTTAGATGACTCGAGCCTAACATTTTGTGCTTCAATGACGTGCAATAGAAAAATGCTTATATGCCTTCCTATCCTTCAGGCAAGGCAAGCAATACTAGCAAATAAAATCTAATTCAAGAAATAAGGGCGCTAAATCAATTTTGGGTTTGACTCGAAATTGACTCGACCCAAACCCGACTCAAATATTAAACGGGTCAATTAGTCCAACATGAACATGTATTTCCTTCAACACGGTGATCCAAATTTTGGCTTGTATAACTTGTTTAACATGCTTTTCTACATGTAATTCAATGATATAAAGCTCGACATGTGATTTAATTAGATAGGAAATATGTTCACATGCTTTTCTACATCATTCATATTTTACCAACCACATGAAGTATGAAATTAAATACTATCACAATTTGGGTAAAATATAATATACATATAACAACACCATCATGCAAGGCATTAATGATGCTATAAATCTCATCATTCATACAATTTAAGTAGGATGAGGAAAGTGGATAACTCATGAGTTCTAGACTCGTTACCTGAAATTTCAAAGGAGTGTGGACTCAGTTTTTGACTTGAACATTTTAGTCTTTGTAAGTTGTCTTCTACTTGCTTAAGATTTTTTTATTTCTTGTGTATACACGAAGTTCTTTGCTATGAACTTCAGGTTGGGTTGGTTGGATATTTTCATGTAGTAGTGTTTGGGGGATAGAAGTGCTAGGTGGAAGAAAGGTAGGCTGTGGGCAATGTACATGTCATTAAGTGTATACTAAATTTGATGTTTATTTGTATTCTCCCTGTGAACATCGGATTTGAGATAATATGATTCATTTTCAAAAACTATGGCATCCATGGAGTTGTATTTTTTGTTAACAAGTGAGTAGCACCTATAGCCCTTTTTGTTGGGGGCATATCCAATAAAAATACACTTTTAATGGATTTGGGGTTAAATTTTGTATGGCTTGGGGAATTGATGTGAACAAAAGATGCACACCAAAAAGTTTTAAATGGTACTTTAGAAGAGAAAGCTTTGATGTGGGGATAGATCTCCATCAAGACATGAATTGGTACTTTGAAATTAAGTACTTGGTTAGACATTCAGTAAGAATTATTTTTTCTCGAAAGTATTCTGGAACTTGATGGGAAATCATAATTGAGCGGAATATCTCAGGAAGATGTCTGCTCTTTCTCTCGGCTATTATATTTTATTATGGCTTATCAATACATAAACTAACGTGGATGATTTCATTTTTTGAGTTAAAATATTTTTTTGCATTATCAATTTTGAGGATCTGAATTTTAAATTGGAAATGAGTTTGGATAATTTCATGGAGGGTTTGAAAGATTTGCGTTATTTCAGATTTCTCCTTCATTAGAAATACCCAAGTGGTCTAGTATGATCATTAATGAATAAGACAAATCATCTAGCTCCACTTATGGTTCTTATTTTGAAGGTTCCCAAATATCATTGTCGATAATAAAAAAAAATGTGAGTTTATAGCGAGTCATGGGATAAATATTTCTAGTGTGTTTGGCAAATTGATGAATCTCACATTGATAAGTATTGTGTTTTTTATTAGTAAACCAATGAGGATACAACTTTATAACATAATTGAAATTCGGATGATCCAGGAGACAATGTCACAACATGATTTATTTTTCAGCAGATATAGACTCAACAAACTTAGAAAATTGAGAAAAATATGGAGGTGGGACGACTTGTGTGTTTAGAGAGACACTTTTCTTAAACAGATATAACTCTTGATATATTTCAACATTGTCAGTCACCTTCCTCAAATTCACCATATGAAATTCACAAGAGTTTGCAATGAATTTAGTTAGCATTCTCATTGAAATTAACATGCTGTCTAACTATGAAACATTTAAAACTGAGGAGAGTGTGATATTTTTAGAGAGCTCTACATCTTGTTTTCCAATTATTTTTTAGTGTGATCCATCTGAAAGTGTGACAAATTTTGATGTAGAAATGTGTTGATAGTTGAGTAGAGCATTGATGTCTTCAGTCATATGATTAGATGTTGTTGAATATATTATCCAATATTTAAGTCTTCCATTGCTGCCAAGATTGGAGAATAATATATTATATTGGTGTGTCATGAGATTGGTGTGTTGATCTGAATTATCCCCTATGAGTTTTTTCAGTGCTTCAAGTTTTTTCTTTGTGAATGGGTTAGGTGCAGATGTTGTTGCAATATTAGCCTTGATTTTTTGATCTTTTCTTTAATGTACAACTTTCTAATCTGCATGCTTTCCATAAAGATTTCAACATGCCTTTGAGGTACCAAATTTTCTTGCAGTAGTCACATGTGGGCTGTTTCCTCTTGAACTTTAGTCATAAGAAGATTTATGGGAGTACAGAGTTGAACTTCATCACTTGGTGAACTTCCATTTTCAGTCATCATAAGCTTATGTCTACTCTATTCTCTTCTAACTTCAATAAAAGCTTCACGGGTAGATAGAAGAGACTTTATTCCCATGATCCTCTCTCTCACTTTATCCCATTTCTTGGTTTGTTTCACTAAGAATTTGATAGTTCTCTTCTTCTCGATGATGAATTTATACTTCACAACATCATGCGGACATTTTCATACTTGTCTCAAACATATACCAATCCTTTGTAAAGGTGCTGAAATATTGGGTTGCACTTAGTTCTCTTTGACAATGGTCATATAGTTTGGTTTTAATCTCAAGCAACTATGCAATATTCTCAGTGCTGGAATAAGTTTCTCTTGCAGCCTCTCAAATTTCTATAGTTGTTTTGTAGAGCTAGAAATTTTCTCATACTTCAGTGGTCATTAAATTGACTAGCCAAGACATACCATATAGTCTTGAATCTTTCATGTGAAATGAGTAGGATTATTGAGCTTGGGAACCACGTCATCTTCTGTGAGATTTCTTCTTTAAATTTTCCACAAATATACATAAACACAGATTGAGTGAAAAATTTATATACATAATGATGCATGCTAGAAAATTTGTGACGGTAGAGTAATGGATTATCGTCTTAGTGTTGCACGAGAATTCAACACGCACTCAGATAAAAATGAATCGAACTGTGATCACATTAGAAATTTTTACGTGGAAAACCCGTAAAAAGGGGAAAAACCACGGGGTCTGACCTAGCTGTAAAAATTCACTATAAGTTGATGATTACAAATGCCTCTTGTCCCACAGGCGAGAAAGAGTAACTAGCTTTCCACGTTACAACGTCGACTAATGACGTCTATAAGCGGTGGTTGACGGAGGTTGGCAGTGATCGACGGTAATCGACGACAATCAATGACGGTCTGCGATGGTCGACAGAGGTCACGATGGCTGACGATGGACGGTGGTGGTCGACGGAGGTCG